TCGGGGTAACACTGATTTCAAATCGTAATATTAAACACGTTTAATATTTACAATCCATGATCCATGGATGTTGGTGAATTAACCTGTGAGTGTGTGATGGGTTGTTGTGGTCATTTCACTGCTCTCCCCACACTATAGGAACAAAACAGATTAATCTATCATTATTTGTCTTCCTGTGTGAGGTCTCTCACATTTCATAAATCTTTTAGTGTGGGCCAGGCTTCAGTTGAAAATGTTATTCTGAAACGCTCTCTGGGTGCTTTAGCACGGCCATAGTGCTGGCTCATCAAAGCACAATCAAAATGAGAAGTTGTGTTTTTATTTCAGCTCAAAAATGTAGGCCAACAGATAAATCAGCTGCCATATCCATAGTTTCTCATTATTAACCCTTTTAGAATCAGTATCAGCCTCAAAAATGTCACAACTGTCTAACATCAAAAATCAAACCCTTCAGGAACACAAATCGTCTTCAGTTCTCACATTAAAAAACACTTCTGTTCCTAGAACCGTGAAGAAGTCTCTCCAGTCTGAAACCGCCTAATCCCAGAGGGCAACTCCCCTCCGAAGATCAGCTATCAAAGACAGGAAGCTCCCTTTCAAAATAAATCACTGGCTCATCCATTACAATGCCCTAGGGCTGATGTCAAAACCACTTTAACATTGAAACACATGACGACAAAAGAACACAAAGGTGCCGACGGGCAGAGGGGTTAAACATTTCACTCCTCACTGGATGAATATACATGACCACAGAGACATAATGATGTGGCCCACTGTGAGGACAACACTCGTGTTTTAATAATAACTAACAAACAAGGGCTCAATTCACAGCTAGTCCCAAAGACAGAGCATGTGATCGAGGCGGCTAACACCACTTAACAAACACAGAGTGTACTTAAAGTCATCGAAGCTTGAGAAGGAATTTATAAATATAGGATATTAATTCATCACAGCACACAAACTGTAGGAGGAAAGATTCATGAACATCACAACCGTATAACTCTGACCGTGAGAAATGTATTTCAAGTTTGCCTTAGCACTACATTTCATTTAACCATGTTGCTTGGTAACCAGTAAGGTATTTCTTCATGTTAGTGTCCAATGCAGAGGTTTGTCCTTAGCTGTACATTAAGGAATTTGTAATTCATTTGAGTTATTTTTTTTTAACCTAAAATGCATACACGCTGCATACAAAGTAATTGAGCCAGAGTTCTCCTATCTTCACACCAATAAAAGACATATCTTTATGTAAACCCCATTTTACAAACGTATTAAAACTGACTAAAAACAGAAATGATAGCAGTGAAACACCTGGATGAGTATCTCATTCCTAAATTCTGATAAAATACCGTAAACTAAAACATCAAAACGTTCAATAAACTGAGCCACAGCCGTTTTAAAACTCACAGCCTTAGATCAATGTATCCTATATTGATATAAAATATAAGTACTGAGCCATACAGATGCATTTTACAGCTTTAATCTGTTTTAATATATTACCCGGCCGAGAGCTATCTTCTTGTAAAATATCAAGCCAACAGATAAGCCAACAGCAAACAGATAACAAAAAACTGACATAGTTAGTGGAGTGATATAGAAAGAGCAGAAAACGTGTCGTCATCTTTTTATTTTAACACCTTTTGTGCATTCAGTGCAACTACGTTTGTTCGTCTGCAAGAAAAACAAAACTGTTTTGCACGATTCTTTCAGAGTTTCAGCTCGTTGGAGCCTTGCTAACTGTACAATAGTATATCGTTTTTTATGTTAAAGGTAATCCATAAGGCCCATGTTCACCAAAAGCTACTTTTTGGCCACTCCATGGTACATGCTGAAGATGGCCTCCATTCCGCTCTCTTTCACAAACACATGGCCACAGTTCCAAACACATCCTGTTCCTTTGCGCTAGCAGCAGCAGGAGCAGGGGAAGAGGTCAAACAGGTGTAACAGACAGCACCTGGACATCGTGTCCTTTTGTTCTGGTTCTCTGTTCTGGGTTTCTTTAAGGCTTTAAAGTTTTAGAAATCCAAAGTTGGAAAGGATGACTTTCTCATTAAGATTGAGAAAGGACTTGTGCAATGCAATACGGCCAAAATGGAAACAATATTTGACAGAATGTGCAAGGTGGTTTGCCCCATTCATTCTTTAAGCTTTATGTCATTTAGCTCCCTTTCACTCTCTTTGATTAATATACAAACTACGAGATGTTAATGATGGCAGAATCTACATTCTGTACCTTTTAAGTCTAACACTTAAAGACGGCTGTTTTCAGTGGCCTTTCTGTACTTTTTTTGTTTTTCCCATAAGTTCACATTCGGGCCATCAAAGATGTACTGTGGTCAGCAAATTCAGGGGCTCTGTGGCCACTGGCCATGTTACTGTATTGTCTTTTTTACATCAAATCATTTATCACTAATCATGTGTTATTAGAGCACAATGGACTGCTCTTCTACATGTGCCTTCATATTGCATGTGAGATTTGATACAGCTCTAATGAACAGTTCTTAAAGGACCTGTGAGCCAATTAAGATGACCTTAAATACAGAAACGAGCGAGCAAGCCTGACAGACAGACACGTAGCCAGCGACCACATCAGTACCAGTAGTAAGGTCTCAGAGTGAGATACACACAAACACATTGTTATCTACTAGGGATGGGTACGAGTACTCGAGTACTCGCCGTTGACCCCATTATGAGTAACATTTCGTTACTCACGCACCTGTGCAAGCGCTGCTCATGGCTACAAAACTTGAACTCATACAGCGTTACATGTGTGACCCAGCTTTTTGTTTTCGCCTAACTGAATATACTGGGGAGGAAAATAATTAACAGGATACAAACGTATGACTTCTCCGGCCACAGCTTCACCTTTAGTACACACCGAGCCAGATTTCAGCAAAAACAACTGTTTTAGGGCAGCTACGGCAACTCTCTAGGAACATATTATTACACCGAAAGCAAAAGCACAACAAATACAGAACCGTCTGCTACACCTGCAACATGTCAGTCAGCAAAAGTGATGTCTGGAAGTACTTCAACGTCAACGATGAAGTTAATGTGCAGTGCAAGATATGTGGCGTTAAACTTGCATACCATAGAAATAGTTCGATGCTTAACCACATGCGCTTAAAGCACAAGGAGAAAACAGGCAGTCTCGCATCACATCATTTGCTAGCCCTGTTAGCACACGTCGTTGTCAGCGATGTCGTTGCAATTGAAATCGTTTTCTGTTGTTGGTTACTTATTTATATTTATGTTTAAATATTGGATGTTTATGTCATTTTACAGGCATGAAGTCTACAATTCTGGTCCGGGAGGTCCGTGTCCGACGGACCCTTTTTTTGTTTACGGTTAAAAAATAATAATAATAATCTGCGTGTACTCGAGTACTCGTTCATTAGGTAATTCGAGTAATCGAGTACAGGGATTAAACTGTAAATTCCCATCCCTATTATCTACTGATGAGGAAGAGGAGCAGGAAGTGTTAACAGAATCTGAGCAGACCTCTTTTTCCTAAAGCACCATGGTGACGGACATCTCAGCCCCTCTATAAATACACCTGAACCTGTTTACCAGCTGGGCCAGGCCTTCTGCACGGTGCACACCGACATTGTCTCAGGGCCAGCCACTGTCTCAAATTGCAACTTTTCTTTCTTTGAGGTCGGTACAGCAGCGGCCCGGGGGGTGATGGGCAAATAAACGACAGCTCGCTTGTTTTAATTCATATGTGTCCCGGTCAGACATTAAGATGTGAACATTAAATCTTGTTGCAGCAGCCAGAAACATGACACAAACATAAATACTGATTCTGTCCACAAAAGCATGTCCCTGTGAAATGTTTGTTAGTGAAAAGAATCATGGCTGATGTTCAGGAACGACTGAAGCCCTCGTCACTCTGACGTGTCGGGATAATTGGTGCAGCCGCTTCTCTAACCTGCAGCTGGTTAATCAGCCTCCAAACAGGCTGAATAACAAGTGAGCCCCCTTCTGTTTTTCATCAGGCGGAGAGGGAATGTTTACCCAGTTCACCTCAGAACCTCTGCAGGTAAATAAACACACACTCAGGCAACACTGAGCGAACAGCTCGGATACAGTTTCAGGAAGCAGCTACTAGAGAGCCCTCAAAGAGGAGCTGCAGCGAGCTGTTTACATGGAAACTTGCTTCATGATGCTGCCTGTACGTTGGCAAGTAGTGGAAAATGAGCGGTGTCAGGTCAGTTTCACAGTCGAGCAAATTAAATTCAGAATTACAGACTGGAAACTTGTTGTCACTTCCTTGTCAGTGGAGTATAGCAGAGCAGCAGCCAGGCTCTCTTTTACACTATAGTTTAAAGGGAACATATTATGAAATATCCACTTGTACAGTATTTTTGAACATATATTTGGGTAACTTGAGTGTCTACTGATCCACAACATGTGAAATAAACCCATCCAGTCCTTTGTTTGTGGTCTGCATAAGTCTAACAACACAGAGAAAAATGCTTTGTTTCAAATTTGCTCTCCTTGTGATGTCACAGTGGGATTCTGGTAAAATAATCCCCTCCCCTCCCCTGGTAACTCCACCCACGGACTCCACCCCAAGCCTAGAACAAAACTTTTGCGCAGGTCCGCCATTTTTATTCTCGCTACAGAGGAGTGATAACTACCAGGAAAACTCAGGGGGGGGGCTCATTGCATTTAAAGAGACACACAAACCAAAACAGAGCGTTCTGAGCTGGTTTATACAGGGTCACAAACCTCCTCTGGTGCTTGATTCATGTTATATTTTGACCAAAGCACAGAACAGATGTTTCATTGAGACCACATGTCCTCTTTAATATCAATGGAAAACTAAAAAGTGTAAAAAAGAGACAGCACTAGGCCTTCATCAGCGCCGATACAATTCGGCCCAGTATAAAAGTACGCTCTGATGCCTCAGACCCCCCCTGACTGTTGAAGCCTCTCAGCCCAAAGAGAAAACCCCAAAAGCCCCTTGTTTTATTTCATAGTGAGATGAAACCCACCCAGTTTGGGGAAGACGATGAGGTACTCTGCGTTGCATTGTGGGCAGGCCACGCGTGCTGTGCTGTTTCCCCGCTGCTTCTCGTCCACCCAGCGCTGCAGGCAGGCCTGGTGAACCCACTTAGTGGAGCCGCGGCAGCGACACGGACGCACCCACTCTGCTGTGCGGTCATCCTCGTCTGTGGCAAAACACACCCAGCAGCTCCTGAAAACAAACACACAAAAACACATCACAGGTCAGATGAAGACAATGAAACACGAAGAACAAAATAACTCAGGAAGCAGGTTAAAGATGTCTAAATTAAATTAATTTGAATGTTTTTTTATCATTAAGCGACGCTTTAACATTAAGAGTCTATCATTAGCTAAATGACAGAGAAGGAGACAACCAACATAGAGGGCAAACATGGCCTCAACAAAATACAAGCCTTCACTTGAACTTCTTTTCTTCTTTGATTGTATCAATGTGTCACGCATAAACAATATCCCCAGCCCAAAAACAGGCTTACAAGATACCATTATTAATACAAAGAGACCAGAGAACAAAGACCAACAGTAGACACTACTAACAAAACAAACCATCCTGATGTTTCTTCCAGGCTTTATATCTTTTCACAATGCATTCTTGGTAATCTAAATAAACTGTTTTACGACTTCTATAACATCGGTGACTCTCCTGATATAGAACCCTTGATGTCAAAGTCACAGGTTTTTACCTCCTTACTTAATACCTTCAACCTTAATGATGACGATGGTTTTGATATCATTGATTATGATGATGATTGTTTTGTTTAAATAAAATTTTAGGATGGTTTTGATGCCGATGTTGTGCTTGCCTCTGATCACTTCCCGTCAGCACCTGTGTCTGATCAGACTTAAAGCTGTTCCTTTGCACGTTACTCATGTTGTTTCCTCTTTTCTAGCTCCTTGCTTGTGTTGTACTTACTCTCTGATATACGTCGCTTTAGATAAAAGCATCTGCAAAATGAATTGTATTAACGTTTTTTTTTTTTCCCCCTTCTGTTGTCTGGTGTAAATGTTAGATGAGGAGTATGTAGTATTTCTTATTATGTAGGTTATGCTTGAGACATGCCAGTGTGTTTGACTTTCTGTTTGTCCTTGTGTGGTACGGTGAAGGAGAGACCAGTGTTAATGTCATTTCATGTTCCCTTTGAGGGGAAAATGTGGCACTCAGCAAACACAAAGTCACTTCTAAAATGAGTCAAAGTTGAGGTTTAGATCAAACTCCCTCTAGAGTTCTTCCTGAGGAAATTGTTGGAGAGAACATTTAGAGAACATTCAAACAGGTACAGATCAAAGTCTCAAAGTGGAACACACACAGACACACACGCCACGTCAGTCTGGAGCAGTGACTCTGCATGATATAAGCCAAGATCAATATGTAGAGTGTATAGGCAAACAAGCTGTTTTGCTGACAGCACAGTAGGAAATGTTCAGAGCACAGTCACTCTCTTTCATACAAACTTGTCCTTCACGCAGCCATATGGATACAACGCCAGGTATTCAGGATCAAGATTATATTTCACATCATTAACATGCCTATCATTTCTCATCAAAATCAATAATGTTCTAACCAAACCTTCAAATGAGGTCTAACATTCACCTCATTGTGCACCTTGTTCTCTTTCGTTGGCTTTCTGCAGCCTTTAGTTTGAGCTACATGCTTCTGACGTTGCCTGTAGGATTTATCACACTGCGACTCAGGCCCAAATTCAGCAAGGCATCGCAGTGCAAGTGAACACAATGTTCCACAATGAACCACCGTGAGGATGTGCAGAGGCTGGGCTGCAGAGGACACAATCTCCCTTGTGTGACATCCAGACAAATGCCTTGTCCTGGCCTCGAGCCAAACCATATTTTAACATCCTCCATCCTCCACAAAAGTACCTCAACACATCCTCCTTCCTATCCTCCCAAACATGCAAAGTCCTGACTGTTCTTCCTCTTAAAAAAAGATTCACGGTATGAGGAAGGGGGAATAAGGTCTAGGCATTAAAACAATCTAGTTATGACATATTTTAGTGGATACTGATAGATGTTAGTCTAATGCACAACTGAATAAAGCACAAACACAGCCGGTGAGTATTCATATCACCCCAGCTCTAGTGTCTAAGAAATTTATTTTTTTAGACTGCTTTATTATGGTTTAACCAGTGAACGATCACTCTTGTTTGTTTTCTAGATGTGTGTGTGTGTGCCCACCAGTAGCCAGGATGGCACCTCATAGTCCAGAGGGGTTTGGCAGTACGATTGATCACTCAAATTAAGAAACTATTGAAATGCGTAACCACATTCAGCAAAGGTTTGCCAATGTTTAGCTGCTCGAAGGACCAAAGGCTGGCAGTGCTAGCACTGCTAACGTTAGCCACACTTAGCAAAACACTTTGACATTGTGTACCCTCAGACGCTGTGATCCTGTGTTGAGCAATGTGTAATAAACTGTGCTCAATTTCACTGTTTGCTGAAGGTTTTCTTTCCTTTAGACTAATCGACATCTCTGAATTTAACTGTGTTTTAATGGACTTTGAAATGTGTCACCTGGTAACATCACTAGGATAGACCTTTGTGGATAACGCTGTCCTGTTTAAAAACGTTATAAACAATAGACCTTATAGACTCGTTTTGATATATTGTGTAGCAGAAACAGTAACAGTCTGCCATTCTGTTACCATTTGCTGCTGCATTGTTTCATGAACAACGCTGTAAAAAACATATTTGAAAACATTTAACTGACATACTACAAGTCGAGTAAGGGTCTTTTCAACCAATGATCATTAGGCTGGGGTAATGAGTCCATCTCCTCAAACTTGTGCCTCTTCCCTTACAGTGGAAAGCCCTCAGATTTTTTGTTGACCCTGCTTCTACTGTCTCCCAGTTAAATGCTCTCATTTGTGATCAATGCCCCCAGACTCCTTTTTGCTTCATACCTGTCCAACATCTGCGAGCCAATTTGAAATCCCAAACTGTGACATTATACAATCGTTTCATAATGAATCATCAGCATCCGACTGAGTGGGAGGTTAAGCATGTCTCAGTGCACAAGGCTAAATTTAACAATGCAGACCAGATCTTATTTTAGCTTCAACACACCAATTCAAACTGCAATAGGTTCGATTTAAATCACTGATTGAAGACTAAAAGGAGCACTAGGGCTTTTTGATAAAATACAGAAAAATAACACTGTTTAATATAAACCCACATTTCCCAAACCCACATTCATCTTGGCCTTAGACTTGTCTGTTGCTAGGCGACCAACTGGTTCAGGGACCTATTACCCGTTTACAGTCTGATCCTGCGAATTGTGACATTTCCGCTCTCATTTTCATAATTACACATGGCACTGAACAGGTGGCGTTCAAAGGATGAATGAAACAATGATTAGCCTACACACACCTCCACCCTCATTCACCTTTGGAACATGACAACTGTGATAAAGATGTTTGTCTTTTTTCTCTTCTCAGGCTGTTTTGTGGAAATTGTGGTGCATCTTTACCATTTGAAATGTGGGTTTATTAATTTGGAAATTTAAGACTAGGATGATTTACTTTTATAATATACAGAAGACAGCATGAATAATGAATTTATCGCCCCGTCCCCTACCACATCGACTCACACATTCTGACGCATTCATACAAGTCTGTCCATTTCTTACAATCCTGTAAATAATCGGTCTAAAATGAGAAGAGGTAGCACACAGGTCAGACAGTACTTTGACAACTGTATGTGACCTGATAAGACGTATCAAGAGTTTATTTCCTGTCTTTAATAGCAGGTATGCCTGGAATGGAGGAAACCTGCACTCACTCTGCAGTAGGAAATGTTTCTGTCAGCACCAGGAACATTAGAAACATCCCATAGTGGTGTGTATTTAATATCTAATTGTTCACTTGTTTTCAGAGAACAGGAAGTCCCATAACCCTAAAAAACATCTATAAGTATGGAAAAGCTCTGGTGCGTATACTGACAACCATTGTGAGCTCCAACAATTCCCACAATTATTCACTGCCTCTGTGACTGTAAATATCCTGCAAGTTCTTTCCATGATGTACAAGTTTATTGGGAATCAAAGTCTTGAAACCTAGAGACTACATGGAGCCATGTGATATCACAGAGGTTCCTAGGGCTGTGTTCAGACCAAAAGCTATGCTGTTTTTTGCACAGAGTTTCTTTAAGTCATAATAAACTGTACTGAAATGGCATGGACAAAAAACTATATGTAAAGTGCACAATTGTGCCTGAGCTGAATTCACAGCACCCACCGTGCCTCCAGTGGAAAGGGAGGTCCTTACAACAACAAAAAAATCAATCTCAGGATTTCCCTGAATTAATATTGAATTGGGAAAATAATAATTGCAATGCATTGATGAATCAATATTTTTAACCAGCCCTAGTGCAAACTGGGCTTTACTAAGTCAAAAGATGTTGAAATAACTACATTATGATTATAAAAAATAAAATACATGTTTGGTCAGCAAGACAAGACTATGTATGCAACTTTGAAATACTTCTTTCCCAGGTTTTCAGCTGGCTCTACTAATAGATGCTACAGAGACATAGCATCACTTGAAATTCTCAACAGAGTTGAAAAAAAAAATTGCTCAATAGATGCAGACAATGAGTTGCATGTTTTTGCTGGCATGATATATGTTGCCTGGCGCAAATGTGCTTGTTTGGAATGACTAAAGACTTGACTTGTGGTTATGATTTCCTGCTCTATGCTTGATTGGCTGTTAATAATATGCCTGATTGGCTGTTAATATAAAGAGTGGTTACCGTTCTAACTATTGCAACTTTCTGTGACAGAGAAGCAATTTTATAAATAAAGGCAAACAATGCCCTCAAACTGCTTCTGATGATTCAAAAAATTATATTTTGGACACAGACAGTCATATTTAGCAGAAATTCGTCATTGGCTTCAAAATGTATTCAGAAGTCGACTCAACAAATACACCATGCATCTTTCAACCCTATGGCTCCCACTGTAGAATAATGAATGCAAAATCTGTGGATTTCTGTCATCATCACACTGAGGCCTTTGTGTGCTGTTACTCAAATAAAGAGGGCTGATCTATGAAAGAGTGAGGGAGACCAACTTGGGTCTTTGCTTGGGTCTCTGTCCACCTGCAGAGACTAGCTTTACTATACTCCCTGGTGCTGAATAAAACATGACTAAGCAGGAGAGAG